CGCTTTAGAGACAGGCAAACCACACCAATGACCACAATAAATAAAAGCAGTCATTAAAAGTTGAGTTTTCAAAAATCAAGCATAGGCATTCTTTATGGATTTTTTTTTTTTGTACTAGCTTATTTTGGCTAATAATCAGTTCCTATAGGAGGCCCTGGGTCTAAGGATGATGTGCGGCGTGGCTATCTCGGAGAGACTGAAAAAGCGGCAGAGACCAGAAATTCTGGCTTCGTTATCACTGTGGCTCATTTTGTTTCAGTCGTGTGTTTGTTTGCTCTTGGAAACCTGAAATGCTCAAACTCCGAATGCTGGCTTTTTCCCCGCTTGCTGCAATCACAGTCCACTTTCAGCAACAGACGGTGGGAGGGTGAAAAGACCAAAAGCTACCCGATCTCAAAGTGCAGCCTCTTCCTCCTGCCTGGCTCAGCACAGCCGACTGTAGTACCCTGCAGAAACTAACACAGCGGGTGCCCCCGGGAGCAAGCCTTCTGTGTACAGAGCAGACTTCAGCAGCCGAGCAATTAAACACGGAAAGTAAGGGCTTATAACTAAAATGCTGACAAACCCGAACCACAGTGGCACAAGGACGGCTGCTATAATATTTTTACAATTCCTTTTTATACATAATGTATGATCCTTCTGCTCAAGTTTCCTCTATGTTCTTTGCCTGTGAGATAATTTACATTAATAAATAATTTATACCATAACTCCTAAAGTAATTATGGGTTTCCACCCAATTTTTTTTTTTTTTTTTAGCATCTGAATTGTTTTGTTCCCCGTCCACGGACTTGTATTTACACACCTTCTCCTAGTGACCTTTCGGAAGTAACTGGTGTTGCACATGCTTGCTCACGTTGTTTGATTTCCCGGTCTCCTGCTCACCCGAGGGCTGAGGAGAGAGGAGTGGGCAGAGCCCAGTGTCCTTGCAACACGGAACTCGTTCAAGGGGGCGCAAGGAGCCGAGCCCAGGGTGGTGAATGGAAGCCCCTCTCACCAACTTATCCTGTATCACGGAAAGAGATTTGACCTGTCCACACGTGACCCTGGGTCAGCGAGAAGAAGCACCTCCCGGGCCAACGGTGGGGGAGCCACAGGGAGGGAGCCACGGGCCGAGGATTCCCTGGCGCTGCCCCCACCCTGCTCTGGCTCGGGGAGGTCCTCTCAGGCGCAGCCAGGCCCCCGTGTGCACCCATGAGCAATCACGGCCAGGAACGGGGCTGGCTTGCCAGTCGGCCCAGCTGACCGGTGGGCGGGCCACACCCCTGAAACTGCCACCTGACCAAGGTTTCCTGTGTCAGGAACACAATTCCCTGGGCAGACACAGCTCTCCCCAGAGAAGCTGTTTGCAGAGGCAGCTCCGGTTCGGCCCAGGAGGCGTGCTGAGGATGGTCTGGGAGGCGAGAAGAGAAACCCAGAGGCACGGCATCACCTCTGCTACAGAAGGAGCCCTGTGGCGCCCAGGATGGCCGGGCACTCAGCCCTGGCAGGGCAGGCCGGCCGCGGCCTGGCTCCCCTCCACCCTGCTTCTCCCGTCCACAGTCACGCTGCCTGTGTCTCCCCACCCCCACGCTGGAAAAGGACAAAACTACTTCTTTGTATCAAGTTCCCAAACTTGGAGGGAGGGAACCACCTGCATGGGTGGGGGGGGCCTGCAATCCAGCTCACCATAACTGAGTGGGAAGTATTTAAAAGCCAAAACACTGTTGCGAGTGCTGATGGTGTTAGTAATGCATTTTATCTCCCTGGGTGCAGGGGAGGCCGAGCTCCCAGCGAGGGTGGCTTCTCCAAAGGGAGCCAGCGGGGCCCTTCCCACCCGAACACACTTGCCTGGGTTTTCTTAAGAACACTCACGAAACCCCCCAGCTCATCCCGGTGTCCAGCGAGGACCCCTGCATGGGGGCTTGAGAGGGAAATGCCCTGAGTCCCAGGGCCACGCTGTCCCCAGCTCTCATGGGAGAATTCTACTAATCAGGGCCAGAACTGGAGTCCTCTGTCTCGGGAGACAGGCAGGGGGTTTTGGTGATTATAATGCTGTGAGGTTGCTGAGGGCCGCGCCCCCAACCCCCAGGGGTCCTCTTCTTTCCTACAGAAAACCAGGCACTGCGAGATAAAGTCCCGGGCCAGAGCCTCCACGAGCACACATCCTGGGGAGGGCCTCGGATGCCCGACACCCACCTCAGCAAGTGCGGTGAAGGGACGGAGGTGGGGTGCAAGCCGGCGCCTCCCGGGTGCTGCTGTCTCCTTAAATCCCACGGACACCACGAGGTGCAGGATGCGGACAGTGAGGCCCAGAAGGATGGGCTGAGTGCCCACAGCGTGGATCCAGGGGAAACCCATGCTCCCTGGCCTTGCTCCTCCACTAGACAGAAGCCCCCTCGAGGGCAGGGGCTGCCTGGCTCTATCCCCGCCCCCAGCGCCGGGCACAGAGCAGGTACTCAATAAACACCGACCAGAGCAAGGCACGCTGAACCGACCTGGGGCCAACTTTTCTAAACGCCCTGAGAGTGCGTGATATCAGGTAGGTCAGGATCTCCCGAATCAGAGGAAGGGCTGAGGGCGGCAGGAAGATGAAGACAAGGGAGACAGAGAGAGAGAAGCCACGGCGGGGGCAGTGGGGGTAACTGCACGGACCCCACGGTCCTCCACTGCCTGGCAGGGCTCTGGCGCCAGCTGGCAGAGCAGAAGGGCACAGACCTCGTGGAGGGGAAGAGCCCATGGGCCAGGGCGCCCTTCCTGAGGGGCCACCCTGCGCACCAGAGCCCCGAGGGGCAGCAGCACAGTCCTGGAGCCCCGGGCACCCCCAGCAGAAGGCAGACTGCTGGGTTTGGTGGGCTCAGATGGACTCCGCTGGGACTCTGGGAAGAGACCGTCCCCGCTCGCCTCTGCCTTGGTCCCCAGGCTTGAGCACCTTCCCCACAAGGGTGACTTGCACCTGCACCCCCCCCCCACCAACGCCCACCAAGGAAACCAAGGTGGTCCCTGGGGGCATGGAGGCCTCTCGCAGGAGCAGGATTCTCACTCTAAGCTCAGTCGTCTTCTCCACCTGTCACGTACAACGCTCACACTGCGCCAAGCTCCTTCCGAGTGTCTCGGAGTTCTCACAGCAAGGCAGGTGCTGTCCCAACACCCATTTCACAGATGAGGAAACTGAGGCTTGGAAAAGGGAAACAGTTCACAGTGACTGTGTGAGGGCCAGCAGCACCATCAGGAACCCTCAAGAGCTCCAACTTATTACGATGCGCTCGCAGTGAAGGCCGAGGAGGCCTGACGGTTAGGGTCTTGAAATAAAGACCAAGGGTTCCACCATCCAGGTCACCAGTCCAGCCCAATTCTGAGCTATCTGGGGCGGGGCAGCTGGGCAGAGGGGTGGGTATGCCCAGGAGCCCCGCTCACTCCCCTTCCTGGACATGACAGAGGAAGAGGGCCCAGCTGCAGCCCAACGGTGGGTCTGGCCCAGGAAGAGGGCGAGGAGGAGGGCTTCTGGGCCCCGTAGATCAGGCGCAGAGGGTTTGCTGAAAGCCGTTAACCACAACCAAGGTGTGCACCCAAGCCTCCTGTGGGGACAGGCCTCAGAAGTGTATCACACGGGTAAACCGAGGCCAGGTGAGCTCCCTGGTTCCACTTCCCCGGAGGCAAGTACCAAGGAGGCCGCCCAGCTGAGGCTTGAGAGTGAGAAGCAAACAGTCGTTCCCCACCCCCGGGGTTCAGCTCTGCCCACGGAGGGGCCTTGGTGCGCCACCCCAGATGTGAGCGGAGCGCCCCCGCCTGCCGCCTGGAGCAGCTGTGGAGTCCAGGGAGACCCTGCACCTCAGGTACCCGGCATGGCACCACGCTCACTGTGCCACGTGAGGACCCCCCCAGGACCACCCCCACCTTCCACCTACAGGAACTGAGCCTGCAGAAGAAAACGCTGCGCCCAGAGGGAAAAGGGCCAGGACAGATGGCCACGGACACTGAACACAGTCCTGCGGAGGCAAACCTGAAACCCCCAAAGCGGGGACCTGCCACGGAAGCCCGGCTTACAGAAACTCATCAGGAGCCGTGTCCTGGAAGCGGGCAGGAGTCCAGGGGAGAGGGCGCAAGGAGAACAGCCCGATCGCCGGGAGCAGAGAGGAATCAATACAGTCAATACAGTCGTCCTTTCAGCCACCTTACGGCAATGGTAATTAGTGCTCGCGTGGGAACAGGGCTCCGGGGCAACCTTTCTGGAAAGCAAGTCAGAAACACAAAGCAAGAGCCTTAAGAATGAAAATGTGCCTGCCCCCAGCCTCTCTACTCCACTCCTGGGAACCACCCTAAGGAATAATCGAAAGGCAGAGGAGATTCAGACACTGAGGCACCGTCAGTCACAAGAGCAACAGAACAGTCCTACCCAACAACCGAGAAACGAGATCCCTCCTTAGAAGACATTTTGAATCATCCTCACAAGGCAATATTATAGGCTTATTACAACGTATGGGATGGGCAATTTTCATGCTGCAGGGAAATGATGGGTCATTATTAGTATGCAAAAAAAAAAGCAAAAACAAAAGTTTTAATAAATAATTTTGCATAATCATATGCTCATCAAGGGCTTGGCTGTGTCAAAACTGCAAAGGACATACACTACACCAAGATATTGACAGTAGTTATAACTGGATCCTGGGGCTGTGAGAGATTGTTATTTTTGTACTTCACACTATGGTGCATTTTTCTGAATTAAAAAAAAAAAAGAAATGAACGTGGTCACTTCAATGATCAGACACCAACTTACGGTGTCAGCTGCTGGAAATGACGTTCATAAACCACACACCTGCGCCCGGCCTCTCACTCAGCCCCCGCAGCCCCTGCCCTGCTCCAGAGCCACTGAGACCAAGGCAGTTCCAGCACAGAGGAGACAGTCCCCACGGCCGCTCCTCGTGCCTGCGTCCAGAAAGGGCTTCGAGCATCTCCCCCTGGAGGACTCGGGCCCTGGGGGAAGGCACTCGAGGAGGACTGTTCACAGCCACCTGGTTACTCACCCATGATTCCACAAGAGAAAAGTGTCGGTCCTTGACTCATCTTCTTTGGCGTGTGCTGCAAACAACCAGAAAAGCTATCACTCTTCAAGTCACAAGAAGCACGTCTGCATATGACTCTGCACTGATTCCCTTGCTAAAGTCACAATTAAGTGGGGGGGGGGGGAGTGGAGGGGGGCAGGGGGGCAGTGGTGAGAAACGTCAGATCAGGGAAAGGAGGGGAAAAAAAAAAGTACTAAAAGAGACATCTGCCCATAATTAGGTCTGGGCTCTTGTCTGGAGCCTCGGGTGAGTATGGAGTCCATCAAGTTAACGGGCTTTAAAAACACACAGGGAGCCTCGTGACTCCTGACGCTAGGGGAATCGTCCACGCGAGTGATGCGGAGTCAGGGCGCGGGAGGGGCTGGAGAGCGGCCTCCCCACAGCCCGGGGCGGGGAGGACGGCAGGGGACTGCTTCCTATCCCCAGGGACAGGACAAGCCTCCAGCAGCGGGCAGAGGCCCACCTGCCCGCACTCCACCCCCCCCAGCCCTCCCTCCCGGATGCAAGGAGAACGGCTCTCCCATCTCTGTGAAGAAGCTCGAGAGGGTGGCCCTGGCTCGGAAGCTGTTTTGCAGCCAGGAGGGCCCCCTCCTACCCCAGACACCCTCGAGAACTGAAACAGAAACTCAGGGGTTGGGTCTGGTCTCAACACACAGCGCTGGCTTCTGAACTCCCTGGCGCCACATCTCCACAAGGGTTTGTCCCCTGTAAACACTGCACACCTCCCCTCTCACCCCACACCTCGCCCCGCTGTGGTCACGGGGTGAAAGGCGGAGCGGGGGGCGCCCAGAACCCCACATCCAGGCACTCGCTCCACGGTGCCATGGTAACCTGAGCCTGGAACATTCCGGGGCTTCGTGCGCTAGCCGAGGCCCACACCAAGAGGCCGGTTCTGACCTCCGAGGAGGGGACCCTCCACGCTCGTCGGGGCCCCAGGAATCAGGGTCTCACTCATCCCTCCCTTCACTCATTCATTCATCCACTCGCTCAACAAACGTGTACCGGCAACAAGTCACGTGCAGGCTTGTGCTGGGGTGGAGCGCGCGACGGTGAAAGCAGCCCTCGGCTCTGGAGGGGTCAGCGGTCACAGGGGGCTCTCACTTCTGAGCGGAGCCCCAAGCAACAGGGACGTGTGCCTGGCTGTTGGTCCCAGGAGTTGGGGGGGGGGCAGGAAACGCAGGCCCTGGCTCTTTTCACGCCTGGACAGGGAGGGTGCGGCCACCAAGGAACACCTGGCCCCCCCAGATAAGAGGGGAGCAGGCGTCTGGCAGGGGCTCCCCACCCTGTCCTCAGCTTGCCCGAGTCAGGGACCTTTGCCCTCGGTCAGCAATGTGTTTGCTGATCAGGTTCTTAAGGGTCCATCCGTCCTGACCAGCCTGGAACACAGAAGTGAAGAACGCGGCCTCGGCCCCACGGAAGCTCATGTTTTTCTAGAGGTCACACAACCAGTCCAGACAGAGAGCAGGACTGGAGGCATCTGGGCCAGGCCACGGGCGCTGGGAGCTGGAGGTCAGGGCGGGCTTCCTGGGGGAAAGGGAGATGGTCCTGAAGGAACTTATGCGGGGGGGGGGGGGGGGGGGGCGCAAAGGGAGGCTGGGCTGTCCTCCTCCAGTCCCCCACCTTGGATTAAAGACAATCCTTGTGTTTTCAGGATAGGTCTCCCTCCCCAGGGTCCACCCCATCAACAGCCCTCCAGGGAAATACCTGGAAAAAGTTAAAGATGGGCTGCCTCTGCCTCCCGCCCAGCTCAGCCCAGAATCACTGAGCAGAAAGTGGTGACAGACGTCCAGAGCCCTGCCTCCAGGCAGCGCACCTGTGGAAGCCAGGCAGGCCCTGCGCCCAGGGAAGGCTCGGGGGAGAGAGAAGCGGGCCTGGCTGAGGCCCCGACAAGGCAGGAGCCCTAAGAGCACGGAGCCAACGCCCACGGGGAACCACAGCCCCACCCACCTCAGCACACCCCCATGCAGGGCAGGGATGGGGCCCTAACGCAGGCTGGAGGCCCACAGAAACCCGGAGCAGGGTGGGCCACGGAGAGCTAGGTGGCGCAAGGAGGCGGGAGCCGTGTGTCACCGCCCTGGCACACGCCGGGGCCACCAGGGGCCTGGGTTTACAGATGCGGTGGGAGGCACCCTGACTGCGGACCGTCAGGGGTGCCCTGCCCACTCACCGGCCTCTCGCTCAGCAGGCGTGTTTCAGGCAGAGGGGCACCTGGGTCCCCTCCCCCGGGAATGTGGCCTGCTAGCGGGCACCAGAGAGGTGCCACTGGGTTAGCACACAGGGCACCCCTGGCCCTCAAAATTCATTCATTCAGTCATTCATTCACTCACCCAGCGAGGACCTGCTCGCCGGGTTGGGGGGCGCACACACTAGCGATATGACTGCTTCTGGCTCCTCATGCCACCTGGCTCAAGCCCCATCGTCATCCACCAAGGGACCAGATGAGCCCCTGACCCAGTCCTGGGCTCGTCCTGCGCCATCCATCCTCCACGCAGACCCAGGGGGCCCAGCCCATGTGGCTGCCCCACTCACAACAACCTGGATAAAATCTGGCTGTGTCCCCCTCCCTGCCGCCCACCAGGTGCCCGTGAGCCAAGCCCGCATCCACCCTGGCCTCACTCACGCCGCTGGGGGACAGTCCGGCTCGCTGCCGCCCCAGGCCTTTGGCTCTGCGGCTGGTTCCTGTCACGTGGCCTCCCTGGCGGCCTTCCCCGGCCGAAAGGCGCCCGGCCCACCCGCGCTCTTCTCCAGGGGACCTTGCTGAAAGCTGCCCCCCTCCACCCCGGGCGCATCAGTTTGCTTTGTTTCTGGGCTCAGACTCCACTCGCCCCTCAGATCAAGCCTCCCTGAGGCCGCGGTCTGGTCCATGGCATCTCCCGCCCGGAGCGGGCGCCCCGGGACTTCTCTGCCGCCCTGCCAGTGCGGCCCGCGGTCAGCCCGAGCCTGCCCTTGCTGCCACATGCCTGGCGAACGCAGGGCCGACGGAAACAGACTCTCCCTGGATGCAACCCACTACCCTCCCAAATCACTGGCCTCCTGCCAAGTCGCAACTCGGCGGGCGAGGGGGAGGGACAGCATCAGCTGGATAAAGTCGGGGGGCAATCCCCCCACCGCGGGCAGCCTGGCTCCCCCCCAACACACACAGCCTCTGACTCTGTGCCTGGGGTTCAGGGGGATCAGCCACCGCTTGTGCGGAGAGCTGACAAGAAGGGACACCTTCTCTGGGTCCCACCCGGGGACAACTCCCACTGCCGCTCCCCGCCATGCTGAGTGTGAAACGGCATGGCAGGGGGTGCATGCCCTTCTTTCTGCTAATAGCACCCCAATTTGGCACTGGGGCTCCTCCCCTCCCCACTGGGCAGTGACTTGGTGGGATGTAACCCCCACCCCACCCCCTGCACCACACAGGATGGGCCTGGCTGACCAGACATGCCTGCTCCGGGGCTCTGATCCCCAGACCGAAGGGGTGCTGGGCTAGTCCTCCAGGTGGGGAGCCCCCCGCCCGCCTCCACAATCCTCCCAGCTGGCCTGTCCTTGCCCTTGTCGGGGACTTCAGTCACCAGTTCTTTTCCCATGTTTCTCTCGATAGTGCCAGTGGATTCTCTTCTGGTGTGTGCATCAGCGGGAGGTGGCCCCAGCTGCTTACATCCGAGGAACCCTGGCCGATTTCATGGGGGTCTTCAAGAAGGCTAATGGGGGAAGTAGGCTCGGCCACTTGAAGGGATATCACGCAACCGCTCAAAGCGGTGTTTGGGCAGAGGCTTCCAGTACTACGAGGAAGCGTACTTTGTCAGTGAAACCTACTTCACTAAAAAGATACAAGGAAACCGACCAAAATACGTAGAGGGCAATGGAGTTTCCCTGCCCTCCCATCCCACCTAAAATGCAGCTTTTCTATTTTTCTTTCCCTTCATCCTCTGCGTGATGCACATTTCAAACTGGTTTGTACGTGGAGACAAACCCCATCAAAGTAGCAGTAGAGAAATCCTGACTAACAGGACGCTGGCAATTTTAAGGTATGAGCTAACTACCTCCCCCCTGGGGCTTCTGCCTCCTGTCAGGGTAAAGAAAAAAAGGAAAAAAAAAATCAGGGCCCCCAACTCGCTTTCTGAGCCCCATCCACAAGGCTGGGTGGGCAGGCCAGGACATCACATAACCCACCGCTTCCCAGGGCCCCGTGCACACACCGACCGCTGGCCACGCTCCCTGGCCCAGCACTGAGGCTCCCCCCTGGACTCCAGGGTGTCCAGGGCTGGTCTGTTCCCCACTGCTTGGTGCTCTTCTGCAGCGAACCTCCCCAACCCCCAGAAGCCCTCTGCACCTGCTGTGCGAAGGCTGATGAGCCCATTGCTCTGGGGACAATGATGTGGTGAGGCCCAAGAGACCCCTGGGGTGGGGGGGTGGGGGAAGTGCTCACCATCTGAGGTTTAACAAGACACCCAGGGTTTGCAAACAAGTGCATGCCCTGGCTGTGTCCACAGGAGGATGAGTGCTGCTCCCGGGGCTGTTCCTGCCACTCTGAACCCTTTGTTCCTGAGCTCCCCCTGACCCCCCAGGGCACCGTCTGGGGTCTGCATCAGCCCAGAAGGCTTGGAACTACATCTTCCAGAGGAAAGACAGAAGCTGGAGACCAAACGGAAGCTCCAGGGGCCACCCGTCTGACTGAGAAGCCCTGACTTAAATAAGACACAATTCAGGTCAGCACTTAATGAGGAGCCAGCTCAGTAAGCGGCTGAGCTCCTCTCTGGCCATCAGCACGCATCTCCGTGGCTTCCTTCTGCAGACTACTGACTAGGGCAATGCCGTCACTCTTCCTTCTGCTGATGCTGCCTCGGGGCGACGCGGATGGGCCACGCTCACGTGCCTGGGGCGGGGGGACAAGGGCAGCGCTCCCGCCTCCAGAAGGGAACAGGGTGAGACCTTGGGGGGCGGAAAGCAGGAGGCCGAGCCAGGCCAAGGAGAAAAGAGAAGCTGAGAAGGGAGAGGCACCCTGGGGTGGAGGCTGATGGACACAGGGTGGGCGCCCCAGCTTCCCAGGCTGCAGGTCAGCCAGGGTGGGGTGGGGGTGGTCGCTGCTGCCCAGGACGGTGGGGGTGCAGATTGGGACCGCCTCGGGCTCTGCGCATTTCAGGATCCTGGCTGGGGCCCCGTCGGGGCCTGATGCCGACTCCAGGTGAGCCGGACAGGGGAAGAGCCTGGGTGCCCGAGGAAGCTGACGTGGCCCCTGGGCAAGGCCCTCGGCGTCCTAATCTGACCAGCGTGGAAGCAAGGACCTGCTCCAAAAACATCAAGTGTCTCTTGTGGCCGGAAATACCTCCAGGCTGAGGAAAGTGAGGTGGCCTGGAGCCCCCCTCTAGCTTCTGTCCCCCCGCAACCCCACTGCTCCGCGGCCCCATCCTCCTGGGAGCAGGGCACCCCAAGTTCCCTCTGGTCTCCAGACTCGAGAAGGGGGCCGGGAGGCTTGCCCCGGGAGGAGGGACCACAGGCCCTCGGCCGGAGCGTGGGCGGGCGGGAAGGAGCTCGGGGAACGTCGGCCCCGAGGTCAGATGTCTGGGCGGCCTTCCAGCGGCAGCAGCTAATGTTAGCACACTCGGAGGAAGGGCCACTCACAGGGGAAAGGAAGGCAACCGGGCGGAGTGGGGGAAAGGGGAACCTAGTCATTGCACCACCCCCCAGCCCCGGGGGGTGGAGGATAGGCGAGACCGTGACTCTCAGTCCCTCTTCTGTCTTCCCACCTCCCTGGGGAGTAGGGCGGTCACGTTGTCACCAGTATTTTAGTTTTTAGAAAAAAGGAGAACCGGGAAACCGTGTCAAGGACCCTCTAAGCAAGCAGATCGGGGACTGGTTGTGGGGGTGGCGGGGGGCGCCCAAGCCTCTCCTCTCCCACTGTCTCCAAGCCCCCAGGCGACGTTCACCTACAGCTATTTTTTTAGGCTCAGACCTCACTGCAGGGCCTCTCGCTTCCCTAATTCTGAAGCTGCCTGGGGGTGATTCATGATTCCTTTTTTTTGAAAATCTGAAACCCCAACTTCTGGTATCTTCTTAGTCTGATTAGAAAACAAAAGAGGAAAGCTTTTCCCTCTTTCCTGTCCTATCTTGATGGTATTTACCCGAGGATGATGAGACCTGTTTAGGAAGTCGGAGCTAAAACCCCCCATCATCCTCTCACCCTGGCAGGCTGGTCAGAGCGGATTCTAATCAGTTGATCTCACGTTCTGAGGCTGTCATCACTCGGCTGGTCTTATCTGGGGGGTTCTTTCTTGGGTTGTTTATGGCCCATGCTTCTTCCCAAGGACGTCCAGGCCAGTGGCAGCTCAGGGGTCGGGCAGCGGGGATGTGTGCAGGCCTTGGTGGTGGATGGGGCTGCACCTGAAGCCTGCGTCCTGCTCGCCTGTTGCCCCTGGGCCCCCTGTTTCCCTGTCGGTCGGGGAAGTGGAGGCCAGACAAGCCCCCGCCCCGCAGCAGGGCGCCTCGGCGGGCACCCCGCACAGACCAGGCCCTGGCCCCCTCGCCGTCACTGTGCCTCCACCCCACCGTGAGGGCAGAAGCCGGCAGGCCCGTGATGCACCCACAGGCTGACACACGAGCGGCCCCTCTGCAAAAGCGACTGCTGGGCCCCCTTCAGTGGCCGTTTGCTCCCCTTGGCTCGTCGCTCCTTTTTCTTCTTCTGAGAAGAATTTTTTTCCTTCCCCAGCCCGGGGCTGGGAGGCCGCCCTCCTCCTTGGCGGGGGCTCGGGCCCTGTCTCTTGGAAGAGCGGCCCAGCTGACCACAGGCCCATGGGCCCCGGAACCCGCTCCACAGCCAAGCCCAGGCCGGCCCACCTCCAGATGGAACCAAGTTCAGCGGCGATTGAAGCAACAGCACAGCTGGAACCAGAATGGGGGGGAGGAAAGGGGGGGAGGAACGGGGGGTCCCCTGGGACCTCGAGGAGGCCTGCACCCTGAGAGCCGTCTCAGCCGTTACAGCTACTCCACACACGGTGCTTTCATTTCACCAGGAAAACACGCACCCAGAGCAGAAAAAGGAGCAACGCATACCTGCACCCCACGAGCTAGGAAGCTGAGTACCGGAGAAGGGACTCAAAGAAGCTGAGTTGAGAACCTGGCTGCATGAACCCACGTCCCCTCCCTCCGCCAAGGTCCCTGGAGCACTGACCACCGACCATGCCCAGGTCCCGGCACTGGGGTAGTCGGCAAGGAGCCAAAGAGACACAAGTCCTTGCCTGGCGAAGCTCGCATTCTGGGGCAGGAGTCAACTCAGTGAACAAGATCAAAATGTGAAGAAGATGGGTGGTGCCCAGGAAGGGAAAAGCCCCGGGAAAGGGGACATAGGCCACGTGGGAAGGGAGGGGAGCAGTGGCCCAAGAAAAGGCGGGAAGAAGGGAAGGAGCCCTGCTCGGGGGGGTGTTCCAGGCCACGGAAGAAGCGCACGGGCCCCAAAGCACGTAGGCCAGAGAGGCGTGTGCAGACTGAGGGGGGGTAAGTGGCGGAGAGCACCCCGGGGTCACGGGGGCCAGGGTACTCCAGCCCCCGTCCATCCAAGTGAAGGTCTGGCATGGTGCTCGTCCAGAGAGGAGGGAAGCTGGTGGAAGGCTCTATCTGAGTAGAGGAGGGCCTCTCTGACCTGCATCTCCTGCAGCTGCTGCTGCTGGAGAAGAGGCTGCAGGAGCCAGAAGCAGGGGCCAGCTCCCATGAGAGTCCGGGCAAGAGAGGACGCAGGCGGGACCAGAGGCAAAGCGGCAGGAATGATGGGAGCGAGTCTATGGAGAGACACGTTCAAAGCAAACTGGAAAAGGCAGGGGTGACGGATGGACACCGGCTCATCCTGCGGAGTTCCTCCGGCCCACAGTGCCCAGTGAAGCCCTGCGGGGTGGACGCGGGTCTTGGTGGCTTTCACAAGCTGCTACAAGGACCTGAGACCCACCTGCCCGCTCTCGAAGTGGGTGCTGGGGACGTAACGGGGGAGGACGGCCACGAGAGGCGCTAACGCGGGGTCTCACAGGGGGCTGTGAAGGCGCCAGGAGGGGTGTCCCCAAGCCCTGCCCACAGAAGCGGCAGAGAGGCCTGGGGACGGACCACCTGCAAAGCCCACCACTGCAAGAGTGTTCATGCCCGAGTGGGACTGCTTCCTGCTTCCTCGGCACGGTGCAACCCACCCGCTTCTGAGGAAGCAGGGCAGGAAAGAGGCCCAGGAGGCCGTGCTCCTCCTGGTCTAAGAAGGCCGGGCTCCCTGCCTCTCTGCTCCAGCTCATCCGCTCTCTTGGTCAGAGAAGAACCTTGCGCAGGCTGGCCAGCACTGGGCCCACCACCTGGGCCCCCAGGCCACACTCTCCTTCTCCACCAGCTCCCGCTCCTGACATCTCCGAGATGGCAGCTCTTACTCCAGCCGCACTTTGGAGGTCTGGCCTGATCCTGGTGCCACCCCCCACCTGCTGGAAACCACCTACTTAGCGAGTGGAGACCAGGAGGGATGTGGGTCTTGGCCTGGCAGGGGCGGCAAAGCCCCGCTTGGCACTATTCACCAGGGGGTGAGGGGATGGCCTCCCCTCACCGCTCGCCGGAGGACTCCACCTGGGCCAGATACTTACTTCTGGCGAGGACAAAGCCGGGCTCTGGGTGAGCCAACCCTGCCGCCCCAGTGGCCACATCTCCCAGAGCTCTGCTTGCGGGCCCTCTGGACTCAGTCTGCTAAGCCTGCTTGCTCAGTCCACAGCCCCACCGGGACAGCGGGCTTCCAAACGAGGCCACCAGGTCCTTACCGGCTCAGGGTTGAAGGTCCTGCAGGCCACGGGGTCGGCTCCCTGCTTGTCGAGGCTTTGACTCAGGATCATCACCATGGTAAGGACCTCAGGCGCTGGGCACCAGCCCAGGGTGGGCACGAGCCATCTTCAGGTGGGCAGACGGAGGGGGGCAGAGGCGACCTCCTGGGGCGTCTCCCGGGCAATGACGTCAGCAGAGGCTGCTCCCCATCGGGGTGGGGATCCTCCAGGAAACAGCAGAGTGGGGTCAGCTCTCTGGGAAGATAAAAGAAAGGCAGAGAGACTCAGGACCACGTTAGACGGGGGGCCCAAGAAACACAGCCCCTCCCCTCCAGGTGGGGACCCTGCTGGGGAACGGAACTGCCTCACCACTGAACTGAGATGCTTTCTGGGGGGGTCGGTGGAGGGACACGAAGGCCAGAATCAGCTTCCTGGGAGTCCCCATGCCGGCCCTGGAGCGTCCCTAAAGCCAACACCCTGGTGGGCACAGCAGTGACTCTCAGCTCAGCCGTGGCACCTTTTTAAGACAGACCTCGGGGTCTGGCTGGTCACAGGGCTGCACCCCCAAAGTGTGCTCAAGCCCTGTCACCTCCTAGGCGGAGCTGGCCCAACAGACAGCCCGAGGTTGGCTGATGTCAGATGCACACCCAGCCCACAGTCAAAGCCCATGCCGCTGGCCCTTGGGCAGCCAGCAGTGACTCCTGTTTTCCACCCAGGTCTGGACAGAAGCTACTGGAAGAACTACGAGGGCACGTGCTTCCCGTCCTTGGAAGCATCATGTTTCCACAGTGACACGTGGGCAGCACAGGCGCCTCCGTACCTGTCTCCTTCCACAGAATGAGCCAGAACACGCCACAGCCCTGGATGGGGGGCGGGGGAAGGTCTGCACACACCCCTGTGAGCTCCCAGCGGTGCGGGACCCTCTCTCATCATCATTCTACACAGCCCAGAATATCTCTCCGACTCAGTCTCATCTCCCACCAAGCAAACACCCAAAGGGTGCAGCCTGCAGCCATGTTGGGAGAATCACTCCTTACAAATTAATTCCTCTGATCCTGTCTCCATCCCACCCCTCTGAAGATTATACCTTCAGAGAAAGTCACAGAGATCCACGGAACCATCACCATCAAAGCAAAAAGAGATCATCATCAAAAAGTTTAAAAAAAAAAACCCAATAAAAATCAAAATAAATACATAAAAAGCAGCTCCTAATCTATAATTAAAAACAAACTGGTCAGAGCAGGAAAATGTTTTAGAATCTGCTGCTCTGTGTAAAAATTAATTGCACCCTGGTATTTACTTGCTGTCCAGATCGTAAATCATATTTTCCTGTTTACTTCGATTAGACTTTACAGTGGGTGTTATTGAAATTGCTCAGTTACGGGCCAGCTGGCAAGCACGGGAAAATTACCTTCTACTGTTCTTCGAAAACAAGGTTCATCCAAAGTGCAAAAGCAGGGAAGGGGAGGGGGAAATCAATACATTTTCAAAGCGTTGACTGTTGCGGAGGGAGGCCCGGCGGGGTCCCCAGGTCACACCGGGAGACCTATTTCAAAGCCACATCCATCTAGAAGTGACACACGTTCTGACCAAGTATCATCTGGCCCAGCAAAGAATTTCAGATCAATCCTCCGAGTCTGGCCAGGAAGCCGAGCCAGGAATGCCCGCCAGCCCCCGGGATACTTGGCTTGGGAGCTGGTGGCTGGGGGGGCATGTGTGCAGGAGAGCACCCGGAGGGTGCCCTGGACCCCCCCACCCCCCGTCAAAGGGACCCTTTGTGTAGCTCAGTGTCGGAGACCCAGCCTGACGGCAGCCGACTCCCCTCCGGGTGCAACCTCAGTTCGGCTCTGGGGCCGCCAACCATCGCCCCAGGCCCAGGGTGACCCGCCCTCCCCAGGCCCTTCTTCCTAGCAAGGCAAGAGGGTTCACTGGCTATAAGCTCAAGTCCTGAACCGAGCACACCTGAGCCCGGAATCCCATCTCTTAAAATGTGCTGAGTGCCCTTTGCCAAGTTACTTCCTTTCTGAACCTCGATTTCCTCTCGCCATAGAAGACTGCCACCAGAGCTTGCCTCAGAAGACGGCTGCACCAGGAGAAAATGCGAACTCAAGCCGTTTGCGTGGTGAGAAGCCCTGGCTCGTTTGAAGAACAACTCGACAAACAGTAGCCACAGCCACTAGTTTCATGCGGGAGCCCGTGAGTCCTGATCTCTTCTCAGCAATGGACACCCAACCATTTGTCCTCTCAAAAAAAATTTCTTAAGGCAGAATTTTACAGCTAAAACTTTTCAAAGCTAATGTTCCATCTCGAGGGGACTGGCTATATGATGGTCGATCCCTGTGGTGAAAACAGTAAGAAAGATGCTGTGGAAGTCTTATCACCATGGAAACAAGCGACCCCATCTGATGCCGCTACTATGTACCAAGCACAAAGCGGGACAGAGGTGGTGGTGCAGGTGCCTTGGCTCTCGTGTCTCTGCTCCCAGCAGAGCCCCTACAGAAGGCCGGAGCACACAGAGGCAGCAAGGTCGGTGAATACCAGAGGACCGTGTATTCCTGGAAACTAGGGCAGTCAGTAAACACAGCAGGCGCTGGAAGGCTGAAAAAGGTCTTGCACAAGCCTTGTCCTCAGAGGAGTCGTGGAAAGACAGTACTGGGAACACAGGCAGCACAGCTACCAGAGGCAGACAGGAGGAAGCGGGGAGCGGAGGGGGCAGGGCTGAGTCATAAACAGACCCCTCTGCACAGGGGCCAACGACAGCACAGCTGGAGGAGCCGGGAGTAGGGACAACCCAGACGGCCACCAGCAGGCGGCCGGTAAGAGAGATCACAGGGCCGCTATGTAAACGAACACCATCACGTCACCTGCACCGCAGCTTTAATGAGGCGACTCTAGTGGTGCCGACATGACACTCTCTCCAAGATTCACTGTAAACGAAAACAGCAAGGAGAGGAGTACAGTGTGGTCCCATAACCACGTGGTCCTGGAGGGGGAGAAGGCACTCTTTGAGTGTATAGCCTCACACACGCACACGCATGTGCTGTTTGTGTATTTCATCCAGTGCATGTAAGCCTATTAACACCTTCTTGATTAAAAAGAACAGGTATGACTTCAAGAGGAAGGGAGGAAGCAACTGGGAAGAGGGAAGCATGGCGGAAGCCTGGCAGCCTGGCCTGCATGTGGGGGCGGGGGCCATGAGCCCACTGGTGGCACACAGGGTATGTGGGGAAGGGCAGCAGTGGGGCAAGGGGCTGGAAAGACAAGAGTCACACCAGACCAAACGCGCTGATGCCAGGCTCCATCTTGCAGCCAGGGGAGGGTCCCCAAGGAGTTGGGAGTTGATGTGGTTGATCTGTTGAAACAGTGGTTTTGTTTTCTTTCTTGAATCCTTTGCAACACCTAGCAGGGTGTCTTGACTACACCAAGAGCTTCACACGTTTCTGGAACCAGGCTGAATCGTAGCAACTTTTGAAATAATCTGGGCACATTCTCAGACCCTGTGAGGCAAATCCAGACCAGCAGAGCCTGGCACCATGTGGAATTCCCTGGGATTCCTTTGATCCGTGGCATGGGCCTGGCCAAGCTCACTGGGGAATGCCAATGCCTGTCCAGGGACTCAGAGCCCAGTCTGAGAAAGGGGCCAGGAACTTGACCTTTGAGGGACAACAGGGTGCACAGCTCCACCCGAGGTAAGGAGGAGGTGCCCCGGAGTCCAGCGACAAGGGAAAGACCTGCTGAGCTCATCTGTGGGGCACAGATCCTACCCTGGCCTGCTCGGTCTTCTCTGAGCCCATATCAAGAACAGCTTCTATCTACTGAGCACTGACTGTGTACCAGGTGCTTTGTATTCACCAGTTACACGACAGATGTAACTAATAACAGTTTACAGACAGATGAAGTAACCCACCCAGGGTCTCGGGGTGAGCTCCCGAGCCTGTGCGTCCCACTGGAGCCCGCCTGCAGCAAAGCCCCACCCGACCTGCCTCTCCATCCCAAATGCATCCTTCAAAGCCCCGTCGAGTAACGCCCATACAACCTAGGGAGCGCACTCCTTGGCACGTAACCCAGAGAAATGCAAGCTTATGTTCACACAAAGCCCTGCGCATGAGTGCCTATAACAGCTTTATTCATAACAGCCAAAACCAGGAAACAACCCAGATGTCCTTCAACGGGTGACTGCTAAACAGACTGCGAAACAGACATGCCCCTCTGCACTGGAAAGGGACGAACTATTGATACCTACTTGGATGAATCTACAGGGAATTATGCTGCGTGAACAATCCCAATCCCCACAGGTTAATTACTGCCCGATTCTATTTATGTAACAGTCTTGAAATGACAAAGGGACAGAATGGAAGGCTAGCTTTAGTTGCTGCTGGTAGTCGGGATGGGCGCTTGGGAAGGCGGGTGGGAGAGGGAGGAGGATGTGCTTATGAAAAGGGTGGGGACCCTCGAGGTGATGAAAATGTTCTGCATCTCAACTGCATCCGTATAGACTTCCTGTTTGCGATTTGCACTGCAGTTTTGCAACATGTTAACTGCTGGGGGAAACTGAGTGAATGATACACAGCATTTTCTACCATTTCTTACAGCTACATGTGAATTTACAATGATCTCAAATTTTAAAAAGAAATGTTTCCTTCCAGTTTTATTGATATAAATTGATACACGGCACTGTGTATGTTTCAGATGTACAGCATTATGGTCTGACCTACATATATCATGAAATGACGACCACAAGTTTAGTGAAGACATCCATCATCTCGTAGAGATACAAAATGAAAGAAGAAAAAGAAATGTTTTCTTGTGTCAAAATTTTATTTCTTTAAAGGCTTTTTTTTAAAATGTGGACCATTTTTTTAAAGTCTTTATTGAATCTGTTATTGCTTCTGTTTTGGTTTTTTGGCCATGAAGCACGTGGGACCTTTGTTCCCCGATCAGGCATCAAATCCACAACCCCTGCATTGGAAGGCCAAGCCTCAACCACAGGACAGTCAGGGAAGTCCCTTCCTGGTGTCACACTTTCAAATGTAAAGAGCCCACTCCATCGACGCATTTATCAAAACTCATAAAACCAA